AACTTAAAGAAGTCCAGACGCTTTTCTTTGCAAGCTCCTTTGACTATAATAAAAGGTATTTTTTAAAAGAATTAAATACACAATGTAATAAGTGTAAGTTTTGACAAGAAAGATAATGTAAGGAGTTTCAAAACAGGTTTGCTGGCTGTTTGTGGCATTTTTTGGGTTTTGTCACAGCTTTATTGAGGTGGAAGTGCAGTTTTTGGGACAAACACAAGCTTCACAGCCTGTTAAAAAAGCAGCTGTTAAAATTTTTCGAGGTGTTCATCAGGCTGAAAATCTAGTTTTACAAGCAGTGATTTTAGCTCTTTGTAGTTACCTGCTTAGGAATTGCAGCTGCTATAGTAAATTTTGATCTGTTGTTTTAAATCCTTGATGTAAAGTTCCTAAATGAATGCATAATTCGTCAATCCAAGTACACATTGATCAACTATTGATGTTTTTGCACAGTAGACAGATTAATGACGGCTGCATTTCACTTTGGAGCGGCTCTACTGTCATGCATGCTGGTTCACTGTCACGGCTTACGGGATCACTTTATGGCAGAGAGTGAAAGATGACTCCATTAAGTTATTAATGTTTCATTAAGTGCTTTTCCTGCTGTGACAAGTCAAAATGTCTGGTGTAAAAAGATCTGTTCCCATTTGTTTCGAACACTTGCAGATTTTAGCCTAGGATTTAGAATTAATTAGCATAAAAATAGGAGCAATGAAGTACGTGGACCTTTTTTTTTCTTTGAATATTAACACAAATCTTGTCAGTGTGAGATATTATAGATGCAGAATCAACTCACAGAGCACATTTCTCATTCAGTAGCAGTTGTAGAGACCCCACACTGCTAAAACATTCCTCTTTAAGAGAGATCTGCTAAACTTGGGCACAGCAGTGTTGGCTTACTGTGACATTTGGGTTTAAATTAACTTTCAGTTATACTCAGTGCATCTAAAAGAGCTTTGAATGAAATAAAATAACAGGATTTTCTAAATTAAGAGGACGCTGTAGTTAGATATGCTTTTCAGGTCAGTTTTCTTTGAGTAACTACTGTTCGTATTGTATGTGCTGGAGAGGACAAAATGTTCCCCCTTACCTTTTCTCCCTCCGAGTTATACAGAAACTGGAAAGACACCAACAACCACGCGTGCCCTTCACAGCTCCTCCACACAGTGTTTGTGCAGGGAGCTGAACACAGTGTTCCTGCAAAATTCATTTGCTTTGCTTTCATGGCCTCAGTGGAAACCATCTACATTAATTCTTGTAATGGAGATGCATCCATTTGGTAAACTGCTGTGTTGAAGAGAAGCTCAGAGAAATACGTTATTAGTTATTATTATTAGTTCAGATCAGCTGAAACACTCAGTTTATTTAAATCCAGGTTGAAGACTCACCTGTTCTCAGCTGCATTTGAATAAAGCACCAAATCCACGCTTTTAAGCTTAAATTCCAAAACTTACATTTTAACTACTGATTTTATCTACTGTTCTGATTTTATCTGTTTTGATTTTATATACTGTTTTGTTTGTTTGTTTGTTTGTCTGTTTGTTTGTTTGTTTGTTAATTAGTTAGTTTGTTTGCTTGTTTTACTCAATTTTAAATCATGCTTTTTATTTGTTTTTGTTTCTAATGTCTCTGTAAAGCACTTTGAATCACCTTGTTGTTGAATTGTGCTATACAAATAAACTTGCCTTGCCTAGTTCAAAACTCTGGTGAACTTCAAGTTGTTGCCTGATTTTGATATTGGATATACATTCAAAACAAGCAATCCCTGTCATCTAAAAGCTCAGGCTTCAGACTCTCTACACACTTTATTTTCCCACAGCTTTTTATACTCCTGGCTTTTTATGACGTCATAGAGTAGTGATGTCTTTAATATGCTCACCTCTAGCAGACAGCATTGACTGTGTGATTTTAATCCAGTGCCACGTCTCTCTCTCTTAAAACCTCTGGGTCTTATGCAGAAGCCACACCCACCTGCTGTTTAAATTGTTTTTCTTGTGCTGAGGAGCCAATCAGATGTTGCCTTGTTTCAGGCAGCGGCTTAGCATCAATGTCCAGCATATTTTGAGCTGTGAATCATGCAAAGCCTTGCTAGTGAAGTCCAAGAAGAAAAACATGGAGGTGGAAAAGAGATTGTTAATGAGGCATGTGGGAAAACCGCCTGAATCAGTTTGCCTAATAAGCTCTTGTAAAGATATTTAATTAACTTGTTATACAGTGAATTGTTTTTAACGACTGAACCCATTTGTGTTCGTATGCAGCTGTGGTAAAGACACCGCCCAGCAACCTGTGGATCATGGCCGTTCTGACGCCTCTCTTCTTATTGATGGTGGTGATTGGGATGGTGGCCTTCATTCTGTGTAAGAGAAACAGGGTCCTTTTTAAAACGGGCGCCTTCAGGACCTTTAAAACTCGATCCAAGGTAAGATTTTATCCCTTTCTCCTGCCGTTTGTGTCTGTCCACGTTTTCTCTCCCTTTGCTGCTTTTTCTGCTCCTTTCTCCCCTCCTGCTATAAATACTGCAGCTCAACTGTTGCAGTATTTAGAGCAGAAGAGGAAAAAAATAATTAACCTAAAATCTCTAAATGTCATTGCTTCACTTTAGCAAATCCCAATACCAGAAATGGGATCTTCTAAAATATTACATAACCCTGTTATGAGTGACAAACGGCGCAGAGTAACGAGTGTGTTAAGCCGTTCCTTCAGGTCAGAAAAATGAATCCCATCTGTCCCGGAATTACTCATTTGTTTTCTCACTGCCCAATAGCCCATGGTTACTGCTAATCATGCATGCTGCAAAGACCAAATGACCAAAAGGAAATGGGCAGGCCCTGTTGTGCTGGAAGTGGACCTTAGGGTAATGTTGGCCCTTTCAAAACAATAGCATTCAGCCAACATGAGCCAATGTGAGGTTAAGTAAAAGTCAATCATTTGCAATGGGCATGTTTGTTATGGATTGCTACCAGCTGGGTTTGATCGGGTCAGGTTGACACCGTGCAGCACATGATGCCAGAACAACAGCTGCTGGTATCACTGCAGTCAGTTAAGCGCTAAACAAGCGGCGAGCCTGCCAGCCTTATTTCTTCAGAAAATTCTGGCAGGGGTGTTCAGAATTTGATCGCCTTTAAGTTCAAATTCGATATCATCATTAGGTCTCAACTCCAGCACATGCAGTGACTTGACTTACGGGATGTGGCTGGTTGTAAATCCACGTGAACCATGTTCACATTTCACAGCCCAAAACAAAGCGAAGTGACTCACTGAGTTGCTGGAAAAGCCTGCAGATAATTTCCATTATTTGAATTCATTGCAGCCCGTTTGCACCACAGTCGGCTACGGATGTGCACATTAAAGGATAACGCTGACTGATTACAGATATTTCATCATATAGCGTTGGCCATAAATTCAATTCTAAAACTTCTGTACCCACCAAATAGTAAGAAATGAGAAAAAACACTTTATTGGATAAAACTAAAGCTTCATTTGCCTATAATGTTGTTAGAAAGTGGTACATATGTGGCACATAAGTACAGTTTCCAGGGGTTTGTAAACTGTGTTAGGTGGAGGGAAAGTGTAAAAGTTTGCCTTTTATTGTTGCTTTTCCAACCAAATAAGTTTGAATAACCTTGGTTTATAATTTTCCCTACTCTTTGCTCTTTATGATATCAAAGGGAGCTGATATCCCTACAATGGTCATCTCAGGCACACATATCTGGGTGTAAGTGCAAAGCCCCACCCAGCTACCTTCCATGGACAGTCCATAATAAAGCAGACTGCCACGTTAAAGGGAATTGAGCTAAAATTCCTTTTTTCACACATTTAATGCGGGTAAAACTCACCATAGCATGATGTGTTAAGTGATCTTTCACTTAAAAAAGTGTCCAACATATTTTCTTAAATTGAAATACACTTTTTTTTTTAATAGCTCGACATGGTAGGCATGTTAGAAGTATCCTACTTTGATTGTTTTGCTACTCTTGTTTCATTCTGAACTCGGTGAATACAGCCTTATTAACCCAGATTAGAGTGATGGCCAAAACCGGAACATTTGATGCATTCCTTCCTCCCCTATCCACCTGTTTTCTATTCTATTCTATTCTATTCTATTCTATTCTATTCTATAATAACCCTTTCCTGACCATTTCCCTCTCTTCCCTGTTTAGACTTCATATCGAAGGGAGGGCAGTTACCACCACCAGGTATTCACTAAGACGCCTGAAAGGTGTATAGCTGACTGATAGAGTCAGTGGATGAATGAATGAGTTGCTGTTATTCTCATTAAGTAATAGGGTTTGAACAGTTGCTTGAACTGCTTTGTCGGCTGCTTATCACTCTGTGTTCTGTGTGTCCTTGTTGCCGGGTAAATTCTTGCATGCGGCTGCTGTTCTGTGGACATCACTTTTTCCACCATTCTCATTGGCTACGAGAGATCAATAGGAAATTGGAAGGGGGAGCATTGAGAGCAGGTGAAGAAATATCTAAAGCATGCTCGGTGAGATTTAAAATGTTTAGGTTTGAGTTGATAGGCTGATAAAATGCTGGCTCATAAAAACAGCCAAATGAGCTCAATACTATTGGCCTGAAGAAGAATCCATTTTTAACCGGGGCCCATAAATTTGAATTGCAAAAATGAAGCTCAACATCGGCGAACCAAATCGATCTAGTTTTATTTTTGTAGCATGCATAAAGAGTGACACAAGCTTGGGTCATCAGCCTTGGCTTATTTCCTATTGCCATTCCCTTTCAGACCGGTTGTTTTATCCTGCTCACATTCTGCAGTGGCACAGCAGGATCCCTGCACACAGACCTCCAACCCATTCCCTTTTTCATATGTGGTTTTTCCACTAAATGATATGATCATGAACTCAAAGCAGAGCAGCAACAGAGCCAACAGATAAAGATGCTTAAAAATGCCTTAAATAACAAAGAACTGTGCAGAGGCCATCAGTGTGGTTAGTGTTACTGCGGTGGAACATATCAGGGTTATTTTGGTCCAGCCTTTCTCATCCTCATCCCTCAAGATGCAAAGCGAGCCGCGGGAACGATGCATGCAGGGGTAGGCGGGACGTCTTTGGTCGGACACGGAGCTAATATGTGTAGACTCCTCGGAAAACACATGTACGTGTTGGGTTTGAGTGTTTTCCACTTCTTTTAGTATTATATATTAACATTCAAATTTTCCAGCTTCAAGGTTTGTTTGCTTTAGTAACTGTTTGCAAACATTTAATGTTGTGTTTCACAAGAGAGCGCATGAAATATTAAAGAGGCCCAAAATATGAGGTTTTAGAAGTGGCGCCGTGAAGCTACAACCACTGTATTTACTCTCTCCCAAACCCGAGCAAGATGTGCATTCAATAAATCAGATAAATATTTAACAGGAGTTAGGTTTGGGAGCTGAAAACTAAAGTTAGAGACTTTCAGTTAATTTTGGTCTTTTTAAATTATTCTCATGGCGGCATGTATACTGACCAGTCCACATTCAGTACTGGCTGGTGTTTTTTTTTTTAAATCTTTTTTTTTGTTGCTTGCATAAGAAGGGCCAGATGTTAGAAGAAACGATAAAAAAGAGAGTGGGAATGGCGTGCAGTGCTTGTCCTGTGCAATCAAGCAGCAACCTCCGGGTTGCCAAAAACTGAAGGTCTTTAAATGGCAACTCGAGGGTCCACAATCTGCCCAGCTTTACAGCAAAAATACACGCTTATATAGACTGTTCCAAAAAACAGATGGAATTTCAATAACTTTAATGAGATGTAATCAAGGTGGAATATTTTAACTCATCAGTTATTTCATTACTTAAAGTCAGGTGCCTTGTTCATCATTTTATTGCACTTTGAGGAGTCAGCTGTTTAGTTTCTCTGGTATATACATTTTGATTTGTTTCTCACCACCCAAAGCTAACATCCCAGATGTTATACCTATGCCCTAACCCTGCATTCTGTCTAATGGCCTGGAGAGGGTGAGGATTCTGGTTGCAACGACAGACCCCCACTTGTATGAAAGTCTTGAGCCTCCCTTGTTTACCTCAGTGAGCACTTTTGTAATGACTTCATGATCTCAGTCGCTAGTTTCAAGTCTTACTGAATAGAATAAGATGTTCATTTTGAAAATTATAGTCCCCATTAGAGTCCAAAAGGAGCATAAAGCACGGTACGCATTACTGAGATTAACAGCCTAGCCAGTCCTGCAGAGTGAGTTATTGTAGCACCAAATTCCCTCAGTGGGTTTCCTCATAGGAAGTGTTTTCTTGCTGAGCTACAGTGGGGAAAAAGAAAAACACAAAAGGCAGTTATAAAGTAAAAAGACTGAAATGCTAGAAGACGACTGCTTAATTTGATTAATTTAGCTTGAAAATGTCTAATTCTCAATTTTCAAGAAGAAAGAAGCAGAAGAGCTGATTAGAAGTTACTGGCTGGATTTGTGGTCACACCTTGCAGATCGATCCAATGTTGTCATTTCATTTTTTTCTAATTTTAATGCTTGTGTATACATCTTGACTTTTCCTCCACGGGACATGCAGATATAAATCCCATACAAATTTCAGGCGTAAACGGAGTCTGTGTCTTAAGCTAGCTTGCGCGTGTGTTCTGTTAAGTCATCTGAATACCAAGCAGACTCCATCAAGTTGACCTCCTGTGTGCAACCGTGCCCGCGTGCGCATGTGCGCGTGAACTATTCCCACGCTGTGCAGGACAAGCTAAAGCTGCCGATCAATACTGTGACTTATATTAGGTCTGCATGTGTGTTTAAGCATTAAAGAGGGATTCTGCTGCTTCCTCCTCACTTTATCACTCTGCTGTGCAGCCGGAACATTCTTCAAAATGGCTTTTCCTCCCTCGGTGCCGCCTTGTATACGCATGAAAGCCTCAGATAGCTGGCCTCCATGTGGAGTACAATAGAGGTGGAATCAGCGAAAGTAGAAGAAATCCATTTTTCATTTGTAAGGTGTTCAGTGAGTGCACAATGCAGTGGCTGCCATTTAAAGGACTGAAGGTATTTTGCATTTTGCTGCATCATGCCTCGACTGGCCCCAGAAGGAGTTTATCTAACCGCTGCAGCACCTTGTTGATGTGCAATCAAGCCTTACTTTAGATACATAATAAAAAAAAATAGTCTTTTTTTTTTTTTAAGCGCATCTCTTGGCTGTGCTTCCGCCATCAGCCCTGCTGGAGCTGAATTTAAATCAATATGGCCACAGGGGGAAAAGAGCATATCTCATCCATCTGCTGCACCTCATCAAGCTGCTGTTGGGTATTGCTCTGAGTTAAAATTAGACAAGAGGAGAGGCATCTGTGTGATACTGAAGGGGAAAAAAGGGAGGATAATCTGGTGGTGCCACAGAGTCGTGCTCAGAGTGACTTCATATGACATCCTCAAGTGGAAGAAATCCCGGACTTCTTGCTGCTGTCCTCCTCTCTCTCCTCGCCTTCTTTCTTCTGGTGCTGTTCTAAATGGATGTGGAGGAAAAACACCATCCATCTCTGACAGAGAGATCAGAAGATCACCCCATAGCCCGGGCTTCAAGTCTTCATTAAACCGGGTCGCTCGCGTAAGATGAAAGACGGCCATTTGTTAAGTCAACACACTGTCAGTGGACGTAGGGAACGAGGGAGCGAGATGACAAGGCAGGGAGAACGGGAAAAGAGAAAGTCTGGAAAGGAAGAGAGGGCAGAGACAATTTGAAAAGACAGATGTGTGGAAGTGAAAAGAACAGAGAGAAAGAACGATCATGAGGCAGTGCAGTCAAATGTGAGCGGTGAAATGTCAGCCTGCTTTTCAAGGTTACATCCCCTCGGCTTTGTCATTTCTGAGAATTCATACAGTCTCCATGCACGACTTTACCCATCACCTGCAGTTCAGTGCCATTTCAGCACCCGTGGCACGAAACCTTATGCCTGTGCTGTGATAATCCACATGCATACTGGTGGAAGGACATATATGCAACAGCACACCTCGTGCTCCTACCTTGCACGTTGCCCTTTCTTTTCTCCTCATAGGTTATAGGCAAATGAGTGTTCGCACTCTCCATAGGTCTTTCACATGAAAGAGTCAGCAACTGTCAACATACATCAATTCAGTTGGTAGAATATGCGTGTAAAGATGGACTCAATCCATATATATTTATGGCACGGCGAGAGGGCCTACGGTGTACCGCTCGCTTTCCGTCTCTATCCGAGCTCCTATCACTTTTCCCGGCACTCATCCACGTCTGCAGCCACGTGTGTCGGAGCTCGCTGACGGTACAGCGGTGTGTATGACTGATGAATTATTAACAACGCCGTCAGCTGGATGCACGCGTTGCCTAACCTCACACGCACTGAGAATTTAGCATGCATCATCAAATGCATTAGACGTCCCATTTTAGAGCTGCTCGAAATAGAAAAGAGGCGGCAATTTTTATTATTTTTTTTAAATCTGGGTTTCATCTACTTGGTTGTGTAACCTAAATTGAAATGTTCTTTCCCCCCCCCCACGCTTTATTTTTTTCACTCCTGCGTGCTAAACGCTTTTTCTTAATTTGAATACAAAGATTGCGTCCAGGCCTCGGAGGCTTTTCAGACTGCTTTTGCTGCCGCCTCTTTTTATGTTCTGTCTCTTTATGCCAAAACCCCTGACTTCAAAGGTGCTGTTAATCTTTTTTTATTTATTTATTTTTCAACTTTTCATTATGCCAGCTCTGGTGTTTGGAGACTGATAAAAAAAAAAAAAAGAGGTTCAGGGAGGGATGTCCATTCAATTACTTTTATCTGAAATAGAAGCAACACTTATCTGGAAATGTTTCTTTAGTATTCAGGAGACCATGTCGTGTCAGCTGGTAGAACTCTGAGCGCTGTTCACCCACATCAGGTTGTTCAGTGCTGCAGCTAGCGTGAAAAGCTCAGGGTGACAACGGACTCAAAATGTTTTATGAATTGAAAAGTGAGTTGAAGTCTTTCATCTAGCAGTCCAGTCAAACAAAGGAAGTCCCATCGCTGGCGTTCATGGTGTTTACTGACATATCTATTCACACAGAGGTTAAATCTGAAAAGTAAAACATAATAAACACACATTTACATTTAAGCACCTTGTGAAACAGAAGGTTTTAAACGGATAAAAAAAAAGTATAGAAACACACAAACCCAGGGAATAGACTGTATCAATAATAGAGTTGAAGCTGCAGCATTATGCTTCTGCTTTAATCACTGGAAATGGCTACACCAGGCATGTGATAGGTATGTATGTGCCACAGAGATCAGCACCAGCTGGTACTGCTATTGGGCTTATTACATGATGAGCTGTCTATAAAAAAAAAACAACCAAAACAACCAAACTCATGGATCAAAGCTTAAGGTTACATTCTCGGAGCAGCAGTATTGAGTGGGAATTCAAGATTTAAAATTAAAACCCCATGCACAGGGAGTTTTTGGATCCTGTGCAAGGCTCAGAAACTGAAGGCAAACGACAACAAGGAAACATTCAAAAAACTTGTTTTTGCTGTCATAGCCAGAGCCCTACATAGAACATAATAATA